CAATCTGCATTTAAAAAAGTCGATGTTAAAAGATGTTAATTTAATTGCTACTTTATATCTAATTCTTATTTATCTAAATATAAACGTTCCTATTTTACATTCTCACTTTTTTGCTTCGTTAAATGTGTGTATATATAAAATAAGCTTAATCATATTAAACAAAATACCTTGAACTTAAATAAATATCGATTGTACGGTAACTGCGAAAAACAGTTATTTACGAGAAAGTATAAGCTCATATCATGAGTATGGTAATGGGCGAAGGTATTAAAAAAAAAGTAGCCTATGATTTGAACGAAAGCCAACAGGCAAGAGCCATTAAACATTTAAATGTGCAATTGTATTCGTAAAAAAACATATATACTGATGGTAGCTACGTTCACGTAGCAAAGTGCTACACGTTTCGTAGAGCTTCTGCTATTAAATATTCAAAGCATTTAATGTGATATGCGAAGAGAGTGAGAACAATCAATCACATGTCTAGTGCCTAATAATAATATTAATCTTGAATAGGAGGAAGGTTAGTCTAAGACCCGTTTGACATGTTCGTTTCATATTTAATTTCTATTGTTTTTTTGTCGCGTATTGTATTTCATATACTGTAGAATTTTTTTCTGTGAAGATTCTACCAGATCAACGAAAACTTTAGAAAAAATATCGAATACTTTACGCGGACAATAACCAGTTCAATAACATTCACTTCTTGCATTGATTTAATCGTATTTCGAACCATGTAGAAACCAAAATGTCAACTGCTTATCCAACAAGATCTTCGGGTAAGAATGTAAGAAATGCAGTTTGATTATGCGTACATACAATTCCCTCACTGGTAGGTTTACTCCTGAACTTCTCTGCGTCGGTCTCGTCATACGTTGTTTATCGCTTTTTTTATTTATTTCGTAAAATTAGAGATAAATTTGATATTGTCAGTGTTAAGCTTGCAACATTGCATTTAGGGCAAGACATCTGTGTCTGAACTAGATAATAATTGTATGTATTTCAGACATAAGCTTTCTTTTTTAAACGGAACAACATGAGGTCGATTAAAAAAAATGTCTTCACAAGTAGGCCCGAGAATGTTACGTTTAAATTAAAATGTACTTATAATTTTAGGTATGATAGCCACCTCCCTCTGAGTTGAATTGAAATGAAAGACTGTGTGGGTTAAAAGAGAAAAACTACTGTATAAAAATTAATAAGTTCTCAGTTTTTGCATATACTCCGGTACCCTTCGTTTACAATTTCTTTTGTTTCAAACCTGCTTGAACTTGAAAGTTGCAAATTTGTAAGAAACAATATCCCATTTTACTCACCTATCAAATCCTCTAAACGTAGTAATAGGAACGAAAATAAATTAAAAGTACCTCAAACTACTCTACAAAAATTTAGATCAGGACCACATTTAATAATAATAATAATTTATTTCAGACCTTTTTTGTCCATAAATGGTTAGTATACAGGTGATCTTATGACTAATGTTAGTATTACATGACTGCGTGCAATTTAACTTTCAATGCTAATCAGAATTTATAATCATATATCAAATTGTATTAAAAATCAAGAAAAAGTAACAGGCTGTCAGAATCAACTGAAAACATTTCTTGCTAAAAAAGTGTACTACACAATAGAAGAATTTTTCTGTGATGATACAAAATAAAAATAATATCGAGAAAAATTTTCATTAATTAACAATTATATTTATAATTCACTAAAATTGACATTGTTCTATTTAAATATCTTTATTCAAGTATTATTTTTACTTTGTTTTTAGATTTTGAATGACTTGTACATAATTATGACGTTACTTTTGAGCTAAATTATTTGTATTTTTATATTCTAATTTGATTTTTTTATTTTATTTTTTATTATTTTTTTTTCTTTAATTTTGACGCTTATGTTAATATATTGATGAAATGTTAGTAGATTTTGCATGTAAATTTATTTTTCTAATTTAATGAACAACAGCTGCGCTCTCAATTTGTGGTGCCCTTGCAGGGTGTTACATGTACTGTAATAAAAATTGTAAAATCTTGATTTACCATGTAGCTTGCAAATAAAGATGAACATGAATAATAACATGAATGTGAACCTAGTCTAAGTACATAATGTTTACTGATCGAGCTATCTATGTGGACGTCTACCATTCTCCACATATACGTTTTATCACCTTTCACAATCATATTTGTTCATAAAAATTTGTGCCTTCCGTTCCGTCACATCCATCTTTTCTACATTTAATTAACATTGCATACTAAAATGCAAGGTTAATTTTCTCAAGACTTAACTGGACTTGAACTTTAAAAAAATCGGTCAATTTGACTTTTACGCCGCGTGTTTTGTCGGACAAATTGAATTAACCCGTAGCGGAATTGCGCGCGGCAATTAAGCCAGAATGACCCGAGATGCTGGGTTAAAAATAGAGTTGGTTTCGTAGCGGGAAAGTTGAATCTTTAACTCTGTATTTAAAAAAAATAAAATCGTTTTATTTTTTATTTGACATGCAAAATACGTAAATTATAAACGTTAAGCAAAGAAAATCATGAATTTCACTTACTTTATTTATTTTTAATAATATCAAGTGACGCGATGAACGTGTCCAGCGACAACTGTCCACTGCCCCCGTCACCCTCAGACTTAAGTTGATAAGTATCACGTGTGCCTGTTATTTCACTAGCATACTTACCCGACAAAACCGAAATGCAGTAATGCTCACATCATTGTTTAGCGGCAGAAATAGGTAAGGCAGTACTTCCCTGATGAACTCTTCCACGAGGAGCTCTTTTGCTACTAAAATATCCTAAACTATCAAAACATCTATTTGTGTTTAGTGTACTCGTACGGTATAAAATAATTTTAATGATTATCAGTCTTAGAAATAATAGTACTTTCCTTCAACGCTGGTGAAATCCTTTTTAATCAACTTCAAAAAAAGGGTGTTTCTCAATTCGACTGTATGTTTTTTTGTATGTATGTTGCGCAATAACTGCAGCATTTGTGAACCGATTTTGATGATTCTTTTTTGTTGGAAAGAGGATACCTCAATAGAGGTTCCTATTAAATTTGAAGAAAATATTCCACCTCTAAGGGTGGCAAACTAGGGGATGAATTACTTTTGAGGTCGGTTTTTTATGTAAGGTTTAAATGTTACCTGATTGGTAAGTAATCAGTAACTAATTAAGTAACTACTTATCGGTACTGTCAATAAAGTAATACTAGGTACTATGTTACGTTTAGATGACTTTCTAGAATAGCGTCCTATCTCAAAAGTACCTTCAAATTCATGAGGAAGAAGGTTAAAAAAACTGAGACGTGTCTGCCGCGCAAAGATGACGAATCGTAGACCACCTCAATGTTGTCATGTGATTATTTTGACCACTCATCATTTCCACTATTCTTGAAAATCAGCGACTTATGTTTTAGTCGTAAAATCATTTTTTTGAAACAAAATTTCATTTAATAAGAATTTACACTGAAAATTTCAAAGTCTACTTATTGTATTGTAAAATATTTCTGAATTAATATATAATTTAAAAATCGTCAACATAGTCTGTCTATTGGTGAATAATTGAATATCTATTGGAAAACCAGTGTACTTTTGAGGCTGTTACCTTTCTTCAATAAAGTTTCACGCTATTACTTTAAATTGAATATTATTGTTATGATTCTTAAGTACCATCATTATACATCAACTTATTTACACGTTCGAATGCTGGGCACGGGTCTACGCTGTCCCAATTCTGGTTGGGGACTTTACAGATTTGTCGAGGGTTGTGAACCTTCTTCGACGTGCGGTTTCATCGCAATGTTGTCCTTCAACGAAAAACTTAATGGTAATATAAAAAAAAAATTGAAATTAAATGTCGCACATAAATTCCGAAAAACTCAGAGGTCCGGGTTCGATACCACTATTCCTATGTACAGTGTACTATTTTCTTTTACTAAGTTAAACTTCTTGTCCTAATGAGAATTCAAATCCCATATTAATTCCTTAAAGCACCAATCAATCAATCAATCAATTTATTTATTTGTCAGAATAAGGTACATTATAATCAGATCTATTTTTTATTTTATAATTATAATTTTGAATAAATCCAAATTATTCCACCATAATCGGCATGCAAAGATACATATCATCAAAATATACATGTCATTTAACTATTTACTAAGATTACTACAATCAATCAATGAAAACTCAACTATTTATTACGATTAATGAAATTGTCAAATATTGCAAATAAAGTAATTTCAAAATCTTTTGTAATTTAAAAGATATATAAAGTAAATTCATGAATTATTATTTTATGTCAATAATTATTTTCAAAGAATTCTGTCAACGAGTAAAAATTCAAATTATTGGTCAATGTAATCTCCTTTGGCAAATGATTATAAATTTTTGGCGACATGTAATATGCAGCTTTACTAAATAGCGTGGTTCTGTGTGATTCTGTACACAACTTATCACAATTACATGCTCGTGCAACGTTAATCTATTTCGAAATTTACTTATGAAGTGTGGTCACCGTAGTCCTCCCCGATAGTATCGTCGCTCTTATCATGAACGTACACAATTTATAATTGAAAAATATATTTTTATCTAGCACAGTTTCATTTTCGCCGATATTGCAAGTATCATTCACTAGACTACATGTGAATTAACAAACGGCGGCAGTGAACGATCGTCACAACCAACCATTAAATCACCGATTGCAGCTATCAGCAGTTGGCAATATAGGGTCTCCACTTCATAGTAATGTTAATAAGCGTTCACTGTCAATTATGGTATTGGCCCTCTCCCTCATACGTTATCAACTCTACTTGTTCTCTCTCGCGTTCGTAAATCATTGCTTCGAGTCCCCAGGACTAGGTGATTTTAAAGTTCAATAAAAGACCAATCGTTAACGAATTACATTGAAGGCAGTCCTTCATGTTCACGGCTAATGTCCAAAGCGTAAACAAAGGCAGTCGGAGACCTAAGGTTATCTCGCACGTCAGTCGCGGAAATGACGAATGACCAAAAGTGTCGCCTTGGTCACTTTGAACATTTAGCTAAGAGCACTATATCGGTACTGGAAAATGAGTTGCAACAACGGGATCAATTAGCCAGGATGAATAACATCGAGATATCGGGGATACCCATTACTGCTGGTGAGAACCTCTTCACACTGTTACGGGGCATTAGTAATAAGGTTGGATACTCATTAGACGATCGTGACATCGATAGTGTCATGCGTGTGCGAAGATTCGAATCGAGCAATGTGTCTAGTGAATCAAGCACACCGCGCCCGCCTGCCATCATTGTGAAATTTACTCGGAGGCTGTGTAAGGACACATTCCTAGCAGCCGTGCGTTCGCGACGCGGCCTAACTACTGCTGATGTTGACCTCCCGGGTCCCTCGCTCAATGTGTACGTATCGGATCACCTCACTCCTCAAAATAAACAGTTGTTAAAGCGTGCCAGACAGCTCAAAACTGACCTGGATTATTCGTATATATGGATTAGAGACTGCAAGATACTGATGCGCAAAAACGAAAGGTCAAAGGTCGTCGTCATCAAGAATGACACCGACCTTTCTAAGTTGAAATGACTTTTATTCCATATTTTTGTAGTTTTTAGCACTAATCAGGCTCATGTATATTTACTTTTTGATGTTGATCGCTCTTTTGTTTATATTACTGTTTTGTGTCTATACTTCACATTTTGTTTTTCTGCTTTTGGTTACATGGCAACTCTTAACTATGTACATTGCTCTCAACTTATAAAATGTTTATATTTAATGATGCTACTATATAATTGCTTGCAACGAGGTATGCATGAAATTCCATATTATAATATTATCAATTCCAATTTAATTTTATTAAATAATCAAATGGTGAAAAATAAATGTTTATTTATATTAATTGATTTTAATGGATCATAAACTTATGTTAGGTTATTATCAGAATGTAAGGGGTTTACGTACAAAAACACACAGTTTTCTATCAAAGGTGGCTGTTGCCGACTATGATTTTGTATGTGTGACTGAAAGCTGGTTGACACCAGATTTTTATGACCGTGAGTGTTTCGATAGCAGGTACGTAGTATTCCGCAGTGACCGTTCCTATGAGGAGAGTGGTGCAAAGCGTGGCGGTGGAGTTATGGTGGCAGTTCGCGCTAATCTAATGCCGCTTCGACGGAGCTGGCCAACCCCACCGTGCTCCGATTCCGAATGTGTATGGCTATCTATACCTTTAAATATTGGCGGTAATAAATACTTAAACATCGCCTGTGTTTATATACCAGATGGAAAAGGTTACCGTGACGCGCTTGAAGCATTTTTTAATATTGCTAGTGAAATATTAAACGATCGCCCGAATGATTCATTTTTGCTTGTAGGTGATTTTAACATTACCTATGCAGTGTGGCAGGAAACTAGCTCTTTCAACAAAATGTTGGGGAGCGGTGGAAACCATGCAGTAAAATCGTTGAGAGATTTCTTGGCTTTCACTAATCTGCAACAGTTTAATGGTGCTTATAATGCCAATAGCAGAATCTTGGACCTAGTCATGAGCAATATTAATTGTGAAGTCACTACTTGTACTCAACCGCTAACCCCGGAGGATATACACCATAAGTCAATAGAAATTTGCTGTAACATTGACAATTTTAAAGCGTTGCATTTGGCTACCACATATAATTACAATTTCTATGCAGCGGATTTTGATTCTATTAATAAAGAACTTGATTGCATAAACTGGTCTAAAGTATTTAACAATTTAAATTTGGAGGAATGCGTCTCTAATTTTTACAATATTTTAAGAAATAATATTTCAAAATTTGTTCCTCGTAAAATAATCAGGTCGTCACAATCCGTTCCTATATGGTATACTAAGCCCCTAAGAAAACTTCTAAATGAAAAAAGAAAATATCACAAACTATGGAAATTGTATGGGAATCCCTTGGACTATCAGAGTTTTAATGTTTTAAGAAAAAGAGCTAAGCGTATGGAAACCGAATGTCATAGTAATTACATAAGATACACAGAAGATAAAATTAAAACTAACTCTAAGTATTTTTGGACATATGTTAAAGCTATTAAGGCTAGTAATGGGATACCGCGTACAATGGTATACAATGGGATTAGTAGTAATGACGGAAAACAAATTTGTGATTTCTTTAATGAATACTTTCATTCGGTATTTGTGAATAATGATAGCCAGTCGCAGATTAATGACTTGGATCTTCCTGAAAATACAATCGTAGATATTAGTTCGGTCGAGATTAGCACAAAGTCTATCAACACATACCTTAAAAAAATTAACGTTAACAAGGGTGCTGGGCCGGACGGCATACATCCTTTGTTAATCCGTATGTGCGCTGATGCATTAAGTTATCCCCTCACTCACATTTTTAGGTTGTCTTTTAACAGTGGTTGCATTCCTCAAGTTTGGAAAAGTGCTTGGATAACACCTATTCCCAAAGGTAAGGTAAGTGATAATGTCGTAAACTATCGGCCGATTTCAAAACTATGTCAATTCGCTAAAATACAGGAAAAGCTCGTTACCGATCAGCTATTTGCGGTTGTCCAGCGCGCCATAGTACCAAACCAACACGGTTTTTGTAAAAAGCGTGGTGTGGAGAGCAACTTACTGACTTTTACGGAGCATATATTGTCAGCTATGGATGAAAATGTGCAAGTAGATGCTATATACACAGATTTTGCTAAAGCCTTTGACAAAATTCGACATGACACCTTACTCCATAGGCTCGGGCAGCTCGGAATACATGGCGATTTGCTTCGTTGGATACGTTCGTACGTGGAGAATCGTAGTCAGGCCGTTGTACTATGTGGTTATCGTTCTGCATATTTGAATATTCCCTCTGGAGTTCCTCAAGGTTCACATTTGGGACCCTTACTATTTATTATTTATGTCAATGGTCTTACTAAGTCCATTCAACACTCAAACGTATTACTATATGCTGATGATACTAAATTATATAGAGTTGTTAGAGAAACACACGATGCAGCGTTACTGCAGAATGATGTGAATGATTTCGTTGACTTTTGTAATAATAATAATTTATTCTTGAATCCAGATAAATGTTTTACTGTTTCTTTTACACGAAAGAAAAAACCTATTATATATACATACAAAGTTAATGGTAGGGATCTCAATCGTGTAAATGAAATCAGGGATCTGGGGGTGACAATGGATTCCAAACTGTCTTTTATTCCTCATATAGATAAAATTGTTGAGAGTTCATTCAAATTATTGGGTTTTATTTTACGCGTGGGAAAACCCTTTAAAAATGCTTACACTTATAAACTATTATTTAATAGCTACGTCCGAAGTAGACTGGAATTCGCGTCTTCTGTTTGGAATCCTTTTCAACAAGTCCATCAGGACAAAATTGAAAAGTTACAAAAAAAGTTTATCAAATCTTTAGATTACAGAATCGGCCACCAGCGCATAGATTATGAATCATCCCTTACATTCCATAAGACAAACACTTTAAAGCAACGTCGTGAAATCGCTGACATTGCATACTTGTATAAAATATTAAATAATATGGTTGATGTCCCCTTCCTTTTGGAACGAATTAATTTTCGTGTACCCCGTAAGCAAGAAAGAACAAATCGCAAGAAAATACTATTCGCAATAAAATCTAGTAAGACTTGCTATGGAAGTAATTGTTTTATAAAGAGAGCGTGTGCCTTATATAATGATAAAATGAATGATGCAGATATGTTTGTTAAGTCGCTACCAAAATTTAAAAAGCATATCACTGAACTTACTAGTGTAATAACTTATAACTATATTTAACTTATAAGTATATTTCCTATTTTTAAAATGTTTTTCCTGTTCGTTATGTATGAAATGTTTGCATTAAAATATCATATTGTGTAATGCTTGTCCATTTTATATTTTGTATATTCTATCAGATTTCCTGTGTATTTTTCATATTTTGTAGTAATATGTATTTATAATTTTGTAAAGTAATATTATCTTAAATTTACATTTAGGGGACTATAGGTTTATTAATAAGTTCATTTT